GTTGAGACTGACCTGGAACTCACTATGTAGCCCAGGCTGGTCTCAAACTCAGAGCGATCCTCCTGCCTCAGCCTCCTGAGTGCTGGGATTGCAGGTGTGGGCCACCATGCCTGGCTGTATTAGCTTTTTGAATCCACTAATTTTGGGGGTAATTCATTACATGTCCAGAAGTAACTAATATAATATTGGAAAAGCAGATTAAATTTCTAAGACCTACTAGCATTCATTCAATAAATATTTCTGTTCATAAATCTGCCCACCATGGCTCTGTTTCAACATATAGCCATTGAAAAAATGTGGACAGTAAGACCAGTGCCCATGCCCCTATCTGATACACCATCTGATGTTTACCTGGTTGAACACCAATTACAATAAGTACAATATCGAGGCTAAACAGCGCAGCACTGGAAATGGGGAGCAGAGAAAGGGAGGGAAATGAATTAGGTCTGACATTTTATGTCTTTTAAACATCTGACCTTTTGGAAATATCACTGTGTACATTTAAAATATTAATAAAGGCTCTAGCTGTTAAGGCAAAGGGGGCTGTTGTCACATGTGACCTTTTATTGAAGTAAAAGAAAATTGACAGTTTTATTAGCAGTAGAATATCAGATGAGGAAATGAAAGAGAGGAAGAAAGCTGCCACGGTTAGTAATTATTTACACAAACAGAGCACTGTTAGGTAGCTGGGGCTTTAGACAGGGTCACTGACATGGAACTTTGAACTTCCTCCACTGAAGCTAGTGTAAATTACGGCTAGATTGGGAAAGCGCTATTCCATAACATTCTTTTCACAGGGGTTTTATTTGACACTTCTTATGTTTCCATTTTTCCCTTCATGTTTTCGTCAAGCCATTTTCCCCAAAAAAAGTCATGTAGAAAAGCTTCTAATACTCCTAAGTGAAATAAATTAGTCATACATGTGTAAATACCGAATAGTTTCTCTGGTGTGAAAAACTATAATAGTACGTAAGATCCTAATGAGATAATTGACCATGTGAAATAGCAAGAAAAGGGCTAAAGGTGTAGGGAAAGTGGGAAGGGTAGGGGAAAGGTAATAAGGGAAAAGGAAGAAAAAAAACATAAGAAAATGAAAAAATGGAAATAAAGTGTCTGTAAATGGGGAGGGGAGGAGGGGGTGAAGGGAGGGCAGGGACAAGGGGAAAAAATGAGAACCAAGGCCTGTCATGTAAAGGTACAAGATCCCAATGATGAATGTAACTGTACTGTATACCTGAAATGCACCAATAAACTCAATTAAAAAAAAGAAAAGCTTCTAATGTCCTATGGGTGGCTATTCATTTATATATTTATTTAACAAATAGAAGCATTCGCAAGTGCTGAACATTTTTTTAGGCTTAGAGGAATCAATAATTAAGAGATGAGATTCTTGTCCTTGAGGGTCTTATGTTCCAAAAAGGGAGGCAGGAAAAAACAAAGCTCATGAAGTAGATTTAACTGCAATGTGTAAAATTAAAGATCTAGAAAACATTGTAAAATAACTCTATTCTTCCTTTCCATTTTCAAACTCTGTGAAATTAATTTTTACCCTTTCTGGTGAACTGTTAATCTAACCCAAAACTTCCTTAATTCATTCTATAGACAACACATATCTTTTAATTACTTTATGGTACAAATTCTTATTTTGGTAACAAATCCAAACACTTACCTATTTCATGTATAGCCAAAGCATCTCACTACATCAGCCCGTTGAAGTGAGAGGAAGGAATGATAGACAACTGTTGAGGGAAGCCTGATGAGCGAAAGGAGCCATAAACAACTATCGCTTTGTTTCTTCATCTTGTGCTTCTCCTTTCCTCTTCTTGGACTGCCCTTTTGAATTCTGGCTTTTGCCTGTTCCAGGGCTGGCCAATGAAAAACCTGACTTTCCTCAGAAATATTGTGAAGGACTCTTCAGAGACCCCCAGGCACAGATGATACTCCCTTTTGTATCTAGGTGCTAAGTTCTTTGGTGCAGACAGATTGCCTTTATAGCAGGGTCCATTTCAGACAAATTTCATCCTCCAAATTTTCTATGCCTGGCCCTTTTGCTCCATGGAAATGTGGCTGTCAGACCCTTCCCACTATGGCTGTATCTCCTTGATTCACTGCCATGGCAGTGTGTAGAGTAGACAGAATCAAGTTCTTTCCGTGAGACTTTCCACCTGAAGGTTTAGTAGGAGACAGTCTCCAGAAGACTCCCTGAGGCTTCTCTCTCAGATAGGGGTCTGAAGGGTAAAGGAAGGAAAAGCTGTAGCAAACCAGTATCTTGCCATCTTTCTTTTGAAATGTTTACTCTTAACCTTTTACACATCTGAATTGAATTTGAGGTCAGTCTATAAAAAATTTTCCTCAATGTTTTCTGCAAATCAAGCGTAAGTATCCCAACACTTGCAACCTGTCATAGTATTCTCAGCTTTTTATGATCTTAGCCAAACTAGAGACAAAAAGAATCCCAATTAAATATATATTTATCTGTATAAGTATTTATATATCATTCATTCATATTTTCCTATTAATTATAACAATAATTAAAATATTATTCAAATAAAACAATATATTATTGAGGTTATAGAAAAGTCATGTAAAGAATTAACTCTGCTTCACTAAAGGGATTTTACAAAAAAGCAATTGGGAGGAATAGTAGTATTACGGTGACCTTGTATTTATTTTCCAAATAGAATTTAAACATTAATTTGAAAGAGGGGATCATGATGCATGCTCCTAGCACTGATCATTGTCGCTTGTCCAGCACTATGCAATAGTGAAAGTTTAATAATTGTTGGTTGGTTGACAAAACGAGAAAATAAAAGGACTTTGGTCCTTTGTTGATAGTCTTGGTGTTGTGCATGCCCATTAAAGTATGCCATTTTTATTGATGGGTACAGTTTTAGGGATCTAACAACCTCTGAGAATTCTTCCTTTTTCTTCACATTATACAATACAAAGCCTTTCTTTTTTTTGAAAAGCAGTTTTAAAAAAAAAACCTGATGTGCATTTTAGAGATTGCGAACTTCAAAGAGAATCTCAGCCTGAATTTAAACCTGTCTTGGCTTGATACGTAATTCTTCTTTTACTGATATATTTATGGTTGTGGAAAAGAAAGTTGGAGATTTACAGAAAGCCTTATGAATATTTGAGGAAATGCCCAACAAGTGAAGTTGAGAGACTAAGTGCTTTCATAGTAAGAGAAAATAGCTGTCATAGAAGTCAGAGTCAAGTGGGAGTTGGAAGTGTAAACTACATGGAATCCATTTACCATATAATAAATCTATGTCCTTATGTAGGACCCTGAGGCAGCCATGGATGGTTCTTATAGGTTGTTGTAACACCAAACTCAGTGGAAAACTTACTCTTCATATAATGAGTTTTTCTCTTCAAATCAGCTGCCAAAAGGAACTCAGGGACAATCTACTCATAAGTTGTTTATGTAATTTAAGGATTAAGAGTATATTATTAAGCCAGTGGACATTCAATTTCAAGAATTTCAAACAAAATACAAGGGAAAGTAATGTTTCACTAGACAATGGTAAAATAGTCTTTAAAAGTCTTAATTATTTAATGCTATTTAAAAGTTTCTGATAGTTATTTGTTGATCTGTGCATTGTTCTTTCATTCAGCTTGTGTTTATTGGTCATACAGTATGTGCCAACCACTGAACTAGACACAAAACAAACAAGGATTACCACAACCTACATTTTTCTCTCAAAGGCAAAATGAAGGTAATACTTCATGCAGATCTTACTTTATGAAGATCATACTTTATGTAGATCTACTGTATTCAATAAAATATATTCTTAAATTTACTTTCACCTGTTGAAATTTTAAACGTGACTACTGGAAAATTTAAAGTTACACAAGTGGCTTACATTTCATTTCCATTTGATGACATTGGCCAGAAGGATCTGCTCACAAATGGTCCAAGCCACCTGCCTAGCCTCTTGGTCTCATACTGGTGAAAGCTCAGACATGAGCTACTCATTGATCTTAAGTATATTGCCAAGAGTCTCCAATAGCGGCATTTAGCTTCTAGTCTGGACATATAGATTCTCAAAATGCAGGACTGAAGTTCAGTACTGTTATTTTTTTCTTGGACAAATGTGTGACAAACTTTAGGGATAGCATCCTTTTGGAAAAAAGATAAACCTTTTATGAAATATCTGAGAACTTTTCCATCCAGAACAAATGTCAAATATATTTTTGTTTTGTGCTATTTAGTTATTATTGTAGTGTAAAGTTTTGCTCAAAAACACTTGAAGAACAAAGAAGACAGAAGAGATCACATGTGGTTGGAGCATAACCAAAACTGACTGAGCAATGTAGAGAGACAAAGCCACTTTCAAGACTTGGTTATCAATTAGAAACAATTATAGATGGTGACCCTGTTCTTGTTCCTTTAGAATTTGGTAGGTGAACTTTTGCTGACTTGTGTAGGTTCTGAATACGTCAAAGTTAGGAAATGTCTTTGTAGTGGATTGCTTGCAAAAATGGCCATACTCCCCGCCCTATCTATGCCCACTTATTCTACAACTTTGGATCTTTTTTCACTAAATGGTGGAAACT